CAGGAGTGTGGGAAGAGGGGAGAGGACATGTCAAGGAAGGGGTAGTCAGGCCCCCCGTCCCCGGCGAAGCCTCATACACTGTCTGAACAGACCGATAAAGCAAGAGCTACCCAGGAGGAACAGACAGAAGACCCACCCCACCCCTCCTGAGTCAGAGAGGAGAGCCTGGGTTTCCATTCAAGTCAGGGAAGCCAGGAAGGCTGTTCTCATTATGTAGCTTGCACATCACGATGCTCAAAGCACTTCCCAGGAGATACCTAATCCATGCCCGAGGCTCCCCCTCTGGAAGCACAAACTTCATCCTCCCAGGATAAACCAGAGGGCAGGCATTGTCCAGGTGTCACTGCTCTGCTTTCAGGATGAGGAAATGCAGCACAGAGATATCCTGCCTCTCCAAAGGAGTTGCTGCCGGCCTCTGCCTGCTCTCCCCCTGGCAGAAACAGGTGAGCTGAGCTGGTCGCCTCCCAATGTATCACCAGCTAGAGAATTACCTGATGGAAAAGCTCCTGTTGCTGGAACAGACACATATTTTTCAATGTTTCAATAATTATCTCTTCTCGGCCAATGTTTTCAAAATTGGTTGGCCAGTCAAATTTGGACCAAGCTGAAAGGTTGTCTCAGGGTCTCCATACAATTTAAGGTCTTCTGTAACTTACAGGATTTATATTTCCAGTGATACTACTTTGTTTCTAGCTACTTGAAATGAGTTTTTACTTACACTTGAGAATCATGAAAACTTAAGAACAATAGAAAGGCTATCACCTTACACAAACACAACCTGATTAGGTAGATCCCAGTCCAGTTCTGAGGTCAGCTATAGGGTTAGGTGGGTGTGGACAGTATATGGGCCCCACAGTTTGACCAGTATCCCTGGGGAGTTGTCACCATAGTAAATTGTTTAAAATAAGTTTTTTGTTTTATTTTTAAACCAAGTCCATCAAGTGACACAACTTGTATCAAGTTGATAAAAGTCTGCTGCCCTCAGATCCAATCTCTGTCTACAATGGTGCGGAGGTCGGGAAATGGCACCCTGTGTCCTCAGGCTGACTCCAGACCCTCAGCCCATCCTGCTTCTGCAATGGCTTCCTTTGCTGCCGCTACGATCATTGCTGCTACTTCAAGGACACGGCTCCAGCAGCTTCATCACTAGGCACAATGAGATCTTCCTCACATTTTAGTGTCCTGGACAGGGGTATTATCCTGTGAGCAGAGGAAGGAATAAATTAGGAGGAAAGTAGGAAATCTGGACACTCAGCCTGTCTCCTTGGGGATGCTATGTCGGGTAATCGTAGTAAGAGTGATAATAATGCTATGTGCCTGACATAGTTTTTCACGTGCATCAACGCATTTATTCCTCATGAAAGCAATATGAGTTTGGTAGTTCTATTAGCTCTGTTTTATAGCTGGGGTAATTAAGGCACAGAGAGGTCAAGTGACTTCCCCTAGGTCACACAGCTAGTTAAGTGGTGAAGTCAGGATTTAAACCCCGGGACCGGAGCTTGAGCCCTCAGCGAGGACACTGCCTATTCCTTGATGCATGGCTTCCCATGTCCTCCTTGCCCTAGCTTCTTACTTCCTCACTCATTCCCATTAATTTCATCATCCTGAAACACTGCTCAAGAATCAAAGAGAAAGAAGAAAAGTACCTCGTGAGCAGAAATGCGTTAAGGCTAACAACGGAATTTCAGGTTTCAGTTAAATGTACGTGAAGAAACAAAGCGAACAGCAGTTTGGTTTTGGAGATACGGAGCGTGAGGGGCTGGTGGGCCTGTGGATGTGTGGTTGGGAACGTGGTGAGAGCCCGGCTGGTGCTAAGCAGTCAGGAGGGGCCGGCAGGTAATGGTGAGGACCAGGTGTAGGAGTCGCTGACAAAAGGAGGTGAGGGCTTCCCTGGTGGCGCAGTGGTTGAGAGTCCGCCTGCCGATGCAGGGGACACGGGTTCGTGCCCCGGTCCGGGAAGATCCCACATGCCGCGGAGTGTCTAGGCCCGTGAGCCATGGCCGCTGAGTCTGGGCGTCCGGAGCCTGTGCTCCGCAGCGGGAGAGGCCACCACAGTGAGAGGCCCGCATATCGCAAAAAAAAAAAAACAAAAAAAAACTGGACATGAAGCCTAGGAGTGGGGGCCAAGGTCAGGGTGTGGTGACGCCACCCTAAGAGGCAGAGAGGGGGCCAGGGCAGCCCAGCCAAACAGCGGTTAAAGGAAGGAGGCGGTTTTTAGGGCAGGTTGCCGGCATCAGCTGTTTTAGAGCGGTGAGGATGACAAGAACAGAGACATGACCGGTCTTTGGTGGCCGGGAGCGCGTGTGTGAGCTTCAAAAGTCAAAGATAAGAGCGAGATCACAAGGGGAGAAAGAGAGAACTGGGGGTGGAGTGGGGGGTAGAGAGCAGAGTCGAGAAATTTTTCTTTAGGATTAGAGAAATCCAAACATATTTGTAGGCAGAAAGGGGCGAGCTAGTGAGGAGCTGGAAATACAGAAGAGTAACAGAATGGGAAAATCTTAGTGTAAACCCCTCACTTAAAATGCACACACACGCTCCACAAGTATCTTGTAGAAAAGTCCAGAAAATGGTAGACACAGCAGAGAACAGGGGTTTGTCTTATCAAGGAAAAGGGGCCTCTCTTCAGATGTGCAGGAAGAAGAGACTCTCAGAGCGTATGAGCAAGTGGCAAACAGGCTGGTCTTCCCTTTAGGTAAACAGGAAGGAGGTGAGGTCATCTGCAGAGCAGGAGAGGAAGAGGTAGGGAGTGAGCTGGACGAACGGGGATGAAAACAGGATGATAGAGAAGCAGTGAGAGGGTGTCCAGGCAGCAGTGAGGTTGGATACGGTTCAGCTGGGTTGGTAAGGGTTTATAAGAGATCCAGGCAGCATGGTTTCGTGAATTCCACCAATGACACAAGTCTTGGCAGAGAAGGTGGGTGTGAGAGTGACTTAGCTTTGGGGATTAATACAGAAAGATAGAGCAGGTGGATGGTGAGAGGGAGATTAAAGTGCAGAAGGACAACAACGACAAAACATGCGGAAGGACAGCTCGTTAAGTGACTGGCCACGGATGGAGCCTGCGGGGCAGGGACATGGGATCTCAGTGGAGGGTAGATCAGAGGCTAAGGGAGGGACTGAGGTAGAAACGCAAGCGGAGGAAGGCGGCAAAACTTTGACAACCTTAGTCCAACCCCCTGGTTTTGCAGAGGAAGAAACCCAAGCTCCAAGAAGGGACAGGAGTTGTCCAAGGTCACAGAGCTCGATGTTGACACGAAGGACGCCAGCGCCACTCATCAGAATAAACTGCTTGACAAAGCACCTCTGTACATCTGCATAATTTATTTAATCTGGGAGGGGCACTGCTTCCAATGCTCTTTTGGTCTTTTCAAGCCTGGTCAAAGTTAGAACCAAGGGCTTCCCGGGTGGCACAGTGGTTGAGAGTCCGCCTGCCGATGCAGGGGACGCGGGTTCGTGCCCCTGTCCGGGCGGATCCCACGTGCCGGGGAGCGGCGGGGCCCGTGAGCCATGGCCGCTGAACCTGCGCGTCCGGAGCCCGTGCTCCGCAACGGGAGAGGACACAACAGTGCGAGGCCCGCGTATCGCAAAAAAAAAAGTTAGAACCAAAATGCCTCGGGCAGTGGTGCCAAAGGGTTCCCCAGCAAGGACAACTGTGAAGTGGGCCCTTTGTGTCACGGGCTTCCCCAGCACGCCATGCCTATCCAAGGTCCTTCCTGGATCTCACAGAGGCAGCGCACACCACTAAAGAGACGGCTTCCGGACCCCAATTTAATCCCCATCCTGTTCTTTGATTGGTAGAAGTAGATTGATCAGATAAACTACAACAAGGGGAATATGCTCAGTGTCGGACTGTCAAGAGGAAGGGATAAATACATTTAGCAATGAAAAAAATACATCTTTGTCCAAAATAACTGCAGCTCGGTCCATCAAACCCAAATAGGGCTGAAAATATGAACACTGAATTGTATATGGTGATTATGCCTACTAAGGAGAGAGGTGCAAAGAGGGAGATGAGGGTAGAGATTCAAAATTCATTCTCATATATCACTTATATGTGGAATCTAAAATATGACACAAATTAACATATCTATGAAACAGAAACAAAGTCACAGACATAGAGAAGAGGCTTGTGGCTGTCAAGGGGAAGGGGGGTTGGGGGAGGGAAGGATTGGGAGTTTGGGGTTAGTAGACGCAAACTATTATATATAGGACAGATAAACAACAAGGTCCTACTGTATAGCACAGAGAACTATACTCAATATCCTGTGATAAACCATAATGGAAAAGAATATGACAAAGAATATATATATGAATAACTGAGTCACTTAGCAGGAATTAACACATTGTAACTGTAGTTCAATAAAATTTTTCATTCTCCATACTTCTATGTGGCTAGAATCTTTAAAAGATTGTATTCAATGCACTATGGAATAAAAATCATTCTAGACAATTTTGTCAGTAATTTTAGATATAGGTCAGTTGGAAAATGACTCTAACACATTACTACTTAAGTCATTAATTTATGAATTGATGTTAACTATAGGCAAAATAGGAGAAAGCCTATGCTATGTCTGCCTGCTTCCATTTTAAAACCAGAACAGGAATCTAGAGACCAGACCTTTTGTTCACCTTATCAAACTTTGCCAATTCCTCATGAAAAGTAAATAAACTGAAAAGCCCCAGTGAGTAGCAAATTATTATTAGTATGATTCAAGGGAAAAATGGAAAGTTTGGAGGTACAATTTCTGGAAAAGACATATTTTCAACCAAGTCTTTTTGCTGTTTATGTGGCACCTCAAACACATACCCATCTTTATCCCTGTATATTAAAGAATTTAATATATTAAATCCTCAAGAATTTTTTCAAGAATTTTATAATACTCTTTAATTAAAATCTCCTTGGGAGTGGATGTGTGTTCATGTTTGTTGCAAACACACACACACACACACACACACACACACACACACACACACACACTACAGCTAGTACAGTGTTCTGCACATAGTGAGGATCTGACATGTGCAATTAAATGAGAAATTATATGCTGTTAAGCTCTTGTAAAGAGGTAGCACCTTGCATTTAAATAATAAAAAAAAATGAAAATGGTGTCTTGAAAATTTTAAAATCCAAATCTTTAAAAGTGTTTTTAGGGCTTCCCTGGTGGTGCAGTGGTTGAGAGTCCACCTGCCAATGCAGCAGACACGGGTTCGTTCCCCGATCCGGGAAGGTCCCACATGCCATGGAGCAGCTGGGCCCGTGAGCCATGGCCGCTGAGCCTGCTCGTCCAGATCCTGTGCTCTGCAATGGGAGAGGCCACAACAGTGAGAGGCCCGCGTACAGAAGAAAAAAAAAAAAAAAGTTTTTTTAATTTTTATATTTTTTTGGCCGTGCTGCGCGGCTGTGTGATCTTAGTTCCCCGACCAGGGATGGGACCCGGGCCCACAGCAATGAAAGCTCTGAGTCCTAGCCACTGGACCACCAGGGAATTCCCCCAATTTTTTAAAGTATTATTATATGAAAGAAAGCTTAATGAACATTCGAAAGCAACACGTTTAGAACCTGAACACTATCAATCTGGAGTATAAAAATACAACCACAAAGAAGAAAGGCTGGAAGGATGTACACATGCCAGCCCTATGTGATTTGGGTACGGTCCTAAACAACAGCTCTCAGATGGCATTTTGGAAAGCTACAGGTTCTGAGTCTGTTCAACCAATTTTGGGCTTATAAATTACTTCACCAAGTCACTTCAAGGATCTAGATATTAACCACTGTAAAAAACAAAACCAAACCAAAAAACATCACCATGGTTGGGGCACAGTATGGGGGAGAGTCAGGGAGAGCTGGGCAGGGGCCCCCCATGCAGGGCCTCACAGAGGGTTTGGAATCTGTGTTTTGAGTGCTCTGGGACAAGGGGAAGCAGAGGTGCCATGGGTTGTGTCCTCCTCCAAAGATATGTCCAATCCTAACCCCCAGTACCTGTGAATGGGACCTTATTTGGAAAGAGCATCATTGTAGATGTAATTAAGGATCTTAAGATGAGATCATTCTGGACTTAGGGTGGGTCCACATCCAATGACGGGTGTCCTTATAAGAGAAAGGAGAGGGAGATTTGAGACACACAGACACAGGGAAAGACCATGTGAAGATAGAGGCAAAGGTTGGAGTGATGAGTCTACAAACCAGGGAACACCGAGGATTGCCAACAACCACCAGAAGCTGGAAGAGACAAGAGAGGATTCCCAGGGTCGCCAGCAGCCACCAGAAGTTAGGGGACAGGCTGGAAAAGACTCTTCCTCAGAGCATCCAGAAGGAACCAATCCTGCCAACACCTTGATTTTGGAGTTCTGGCCTCCTGAACTGTGTGACAATACATTTCTATTGTTTTCAAGCTGCCAATTTGTGGTAATTTGTTATGGCAGCCCTAAGAAACTAACACAGGACGTAAGTAATTTTAGCAATGAGTAAACACACACACACACACACACACCCCTCTGGTTGCTGTACAGAGAATGGACTACGTAGGCAGAAAAAGTGGAAGCAGGAAGTGACGTAAGAGGCTAATGTCAGAAGCTGACGGTGGCTTGTGTTAATGAATGAATGAACTAACATAAAGGGAAGGGGGAAACACTGGAAGGTGACTTTGTTGCTAAGATTGTTAGGGGTGAGGGGCTTTGCTGGTGGCGCAGTGGTTGAGAGTCCACCTGCTGCTGCAGGGGACGCGGGGTAGTGCCCCGGTCCGGGAAGACTCCGCAACGGGAGAGGCCGCGACAGTGAGAGGCCCGCGTACCAAAAAAAAAGAAGATTGTTAGGGGTGGCAGTGGGGGGCGGGACACAGAGCTTTTCTTGTGGAAACCAGCAAGGCTGGTCGTGCTCCTGAGGGCACAAGTAGGTGAGCTCAAGGTGGGCTTCCTGGGAGTGGTGGGAGGAGCCACATGACTAAGTGTGGGCCCAGCAGGAGGGCGGGACTGAGGCAACCCCTCCTCATGTGCTCTCTGTGTCTAACACCTGTGCGTGGACGGATGGAATAAAGCCTCCTTTAAAGCTTCCCTAGGGGAAGCCCTGCCCATTGCCGTGTTCTGCCTTCTTGACTGTGCCCCAAGGAGCTGCTGGTCTCATGCACTATTACTGTGAGCTTTGTATGGAAAGGAGCACCCCCTTTTCCTCTGAGAACGCCCCACAGAAGCGAGCCCAGTCCAGGACGCTGCATCAGGAGGCCTCGGTGTGTGGGCCTCAGTCACATCCAGAAGGGCGCCAGAACCCCGAGGCAGCGAGAAGCAGAGAGCATGGGACACGCTTTTGTCCCCTCCCCATCAGTGACAGCCCGTCTCAATCCAGTCCCTGTGTTACTGCACACCCAGCTGATTGGTGATGGATGTAAGGAACAGGGCATGGGACATAGGATGCGCTGGCCCTGCCCTGTCTGGGTCGGAGGGACAAGCCAGGCCACCTACCTCCGTCTTGGGGACCTCACTGCTTGTGTCCGGCTGGGCATGGCCAGTGCCAGGGTCACAGCCTGGCTCGAGGATGGTCCCGTCATCTTGCTTTTCCTGGCCAGCTCCCTGCTCAGAACTGTGGTCGCCCTCCCCTCCTCCAGGGGGGTTTTGGGGGGTCTCCTCCCCCACAGCTCCCTCCTCCAGCCCCTCTGTGTCTCGGCTGCTTTGTCTGGGCTCCTCCTCTTTGCTGGCCGCCCTCTCCTTCACCTCCGTAGGCTCTTCCATCTGCCCTTCAGCCGGTTTCTCCTCCGTGGGGCTCCCACCCCCGTCCTCTGCCTCTGGGCTGGAGGCTCGGGCTGGACGCTGGCTGGCCGCCTCCTCAGAGCTCCCCACAGCCTTTTCGTGCTGCTGGGCTACCCTCAAGGCCCTGCCCTTCTCTTCCTGCTTCTCTGTCCAGCTGGGCGTCCTCCTCAGAGGAGGGGATCCTGGGGTCTTGCTCTTGGCTAGGAACACCTCGTCCCCATTCTCTTCCTTGGCACCATTCTCCTGGGAGGACTCCTCGGCCCTGAGCCCCCCCAGGTCCGCACAGTCCTCCGACTGGGACCTTCGGAATCGCCTGGAGGGAGGGCGCCTTTTTATGGAGCCCCTTGTCCGCACCTGCAAGAAAGTGTTAAGGAAAATGATCTACACCTGTGAAAAAGGCCAAACAGGGAGGGCGCATGTTCTTTCAATGTCAGTCTCACATGCACAGTTTCACAAGCCCACCTGAGGATCATTTGATTTTCTAGGAGGATGTACCATTGCTTGCTATTTATTATAGGTTAGAGCCCTATGGGGCTGCGGTATTACATGGTAACCTGCAGATTTTTTTCTGTGTGTGAAGATGAAAATGCTGTCTATCCAGTAAAAAAGATAACCTAAGATTTAATTGGCCTGTAAAATAACAATCAGCACAGTGTCTAACTTAGCAATTTTATTCTAACATTTGTCCTTTTTAATTGCCTATAAATAACCAGTTCTTTGAATGAGCTTTATCATCTTACAGGATCCCTCCTAAATTAACAAGTTGAACAAAATCTCTCTCTATTTTGTACGAGAGTCATGTTTTAACATTTTGAAGTTTCTACTTTGACAAAGGTGAACCCAACAGAAAAGAGGGTTGGGGGTCTGTGGGTGGCTGGTACCGTGACCTCATGGGTGTGGAGATGGACAGCTGGTGATCAGCTTCCTCCCTTCCCCCAGCCCCTGCGCCGCCCCCCGCCCCCCCCCAAAGCTGGCTAACCCCGGGAGAGCTGAGCAGCCAGAATCCTTTGCTTTCTCCAGCAAGGTCCAACTGTAGCAGAAGCCACACCTTAGAAACACCCAGCAGAGCTGCCTGAAAACCATTTTCTCTCTGGGAAGTGTGTGAATCTCAGAACCAGGCCTCACCTGGGTCCACTGGACTTTGTCAGAAGTTCAATGGCGTGTTTATAGTGGGTGTCCTACTTTACTCAAGTGATGTGTCTTTAAAAATTTATGTGCAAATTAAATCTTATTTTCTCATTGATCTGCATTTTGGTATATGTCAATCCTAGTTGTCTCAGAAGTTTGGAATGAATACTTTTTTCTTTTTAAAATAAATTTATTTAGTGGCTTCTCTTGTTGCGGAGCATGGGCTCTAAGGTGTACAGGCTTCAGTAGTTGTGGCGCACAGGCTTAGTTGTTCTGCGGCATGTGGGATCTTCCCGGACCAGTGATCGAACCTGTGTCCCCTGCACTGGCAGGCAGATTCTCAACCACTGCACCATCAGGGGAAGCTCTGAATACTTGGTTTTAAAAGGGCTTCCCAGGAACTTTCCTGAGACCACGGTGAGGCTAGCCCTGCAGGCTATCAAGGCCCCAGCCCTCATGGCCAGCACGGTTCAGAAATAATGCTGCCTGCTCCCTTACTGCTGTCACAGACTAAAGCCCCCAGTACTATGACCAGGTGGTAGAGCCTCCCTCCCTGCTTCTACATCCCACTGACATCCTGTGAGAAGACAGGGCTCTCTCCTGGGTTCCTCTCTGCTGTCGGGGGTCTCTCCATTGCCCTGGGCTGAAGGATCTCCACTCTGTCCCCAGCCAGCAGGCTCAAGCCTACCCCTTCACCTCCTTGCCACCACTTTGTTTCCTTGGGCCCTACCTGTTTCAACACATTTGACCTCTTTCCTAGATGGATCCTCTGGAAGGGCTCAGTAGATCCTGCTCTCTCCATCCTTAATTCTAAGGTCACATTCATTTAACTTTTCCTGGCATCAGAGCCCTTTAACTCAGGGACTTCCCTGGTGGTCAAGTGGTTAAGACTCAGCGCTTGCACGGCAGGGGGTGTGGGTTCGATCCCTGGTCAGGAAAGTAAGATCCCGCATGCCCGTGGTGCAACCAAAAAAAAAGAAAAGAGCCCTTTAACTCTTAGCCCCTGCCTGGCTCTGGTCCAAATTTGCTGGGTACCTGCTTGGAGTGTACTGGACTGCATGTACCTCTGATTCTCTTGATTCTTACCTCCTTTTAGTAGGGCAGGGATCTGATGAAATCACACACACAAGTATTAGGGCAGTATCTACAGAAACAAGTGTTGCCATACATCTTTTTGCAAAGGGAACGAGTTGGATATTCTTCAACTGGGGCAAGATGCAGTAAGAATGATTTGAACCCGTTCTGGGACACTTAGGAGTATTCATATCAAGGCAGGACAGGACAACCTAGTGACCCTGCCCTCCCTTCTGCTGAGTCACTGACCAGGTCTTTAGCTTTTGTTTTCAGCTTTTGACATCATTCTCTGTGCAGCTGGGATCAGTACTGAATTCCTGCCTCTCTCTCCACAAAGGATGGAGCGCTCCATCCCCTGCACTTGTCTTTCAGGTG